CTCAGGGGCAAACTGCAGTCTGAAGTGGCCACTCATCATCGGCAACGGGGTTGGACCTGCTACCTCTTCCTCCTGTGGCTGCTTCCCCACAGCCCTAGGACCTCCTCCAGCCCTTAAAACAAGGCCCCTGCCGGGGGGTTTGCTAGGCTGGAGCTTCCCCAGCTCCTCCTGCCCTTCCCCAGCACTGCGCTGTCCAAAGTACCCTTTTTTCCTTCAGGCAGCCAGGTCCATCTCTCTCCAAAGCTGGAGAAAGACTGACTGCCTTCTGGCCCTCCAGCCCTGTTATAGGGCCCAGCCTGGCCCTGATTGGCTGCCTCCCAGCCTTCTATGTTTGGTTTTCAGCCCCAGCCCCCTCCAAGGACTGGCTTTTAACCCTTTTAGGGCTGGAGCGGGGTGACCGCCCCTTTACAAGGGGTTACAGGGTGCTACTTTGAGGTACAGTGTGTCACAGGAGGCCCAGTGGAAAAGTGTTAATGCACACCAAGATTTCACAGGAGTCCTCCAGAGGGATAGCTAGGAAACTTTCCTGGAGGTACTTGCCAATTCTCTGCTGAAGGTTCCTTGGCAGAGCTGCTTTGTTTCTTACCCCGCTGTAGGAAATTTTCCCGCATCAATCGGCAATCACTTGTGCAGGGATCAAAGCAGCACACAGACAATCAGCATAGGGACCCGATCTGAAGCCACACGTATGCAGGAGATGCACCATTGCATTCTTGTTTACCCTCAGGAATGAAGTATCCGCTTCAATGACCCCTGCTTGTGGAAAATGGTGACAGAATTTACAGTAGTGTCTCTAGTTGCTTGCAGTGATTCTCTTCCAAAACCACCCAGACATTTTGCCCCATCTTGGATCTTCCCCCATTTCCCCCCCCCCCATGGGCCAAACTCACCACGTTTAGGGCACTCGTAGTGCTTGCCAAGAGAGAGTGAGAAAGAGGTGTATTTAATTATTATGATTCAATGCTGTGAGTGCACTCACAGTCCTGCCTCTATTGATTGCTTCTTGTGTTTCTGCAGATGTGGCCTTGAGGGGAACCCCTTACACACCGGCAGAGCGCTTGCGTCAGATAAGGAGGCCACCCAGGTGGAGTAAGGAGGACATGTTTAGAGAGGTGCTCCAAACGTCTGACACCACAGATCATGATCACAGGGAATGGCGAGAGTCAATTAATGAAAAATTGAAAATACATAGCCAGGAGAGGTAGCAGGGCCAGGAGCAGATGATAGAACTGATGGAGGACCAAACAGAGATGCTGAAGTCCCTGAGATAACTGTGTGCCATGCCCTCCCCAAACTCCACCCTCACATTCTTTGCATGTGCCTGCTTGTTGTTGCGCTCCACCCTTCAGACAGATTCCTTAACTACAGTTGGACTTACACACAGCTATGAGAGCCTCCATTAAGAGACTGCACCTCAGTGTGCTGTCCCTTGCAAGACATTGTGTATTAGTTATTGCTGTTTAATAAAAATGTACTCAGAGGAGAAAAATAAAGACTCATTTTCTTTGTACATATGGTGGTTGCTGCTGGAATTCATACACAGTGGGAACGGGCACATATGCAGACTACAGATCATACTCAGGAAACAATCATCACAAGGATCATTCCAGGCAGCATGTAAACAAAGCCTAGCTTTGCATTGCAGAAAGACACATTACTGTGGTTCATTGTCAAAATGCTGCTTCAAAGCCTCCCTGATTCGAATAGCCCCCCTATTGTGTCCCTTTAATAGCCCTGGTATCTGGCTGCTCAGAATCAGTCACCAGGTGATCTGCCTCCATGCTCCACCCCAGGCAAACTTTTCCCCTTTAGTTTCACAAATATGCAGAGTTCAGCAAGCTGCTAGGTCCATGGAAGTATTTTCCTCATTGAGGTCTAACCTGCCATAAAGGCATTGCCAGTGAGCCTTTAATCTGCCAAAGTACATTCAACGGTCATTCTGTGTCTGCTCAGCCAGTTGCTGAAGCATTCCTTGCTGCTGTCAAGGTTTCCACTATAAGGCTTCATGAGCCATGGGAGTAAGGGGTAGGCTGAGTCTCCTAGGATCACTATGGGCATTTCAACATCCCCCAGTGGAATATTCTGGTCTGGAAAGAAAGTCCCTGCTTGCAGCTTGCTATACAGGCTAGTGTTCTTAAAGATAAGTGTGTCATGCACCTTCCCTGACCACCCTGCTTTGATATCAGTGAAACAACCCCGGTGATCCACAAGCACCTACAATACCACACAGAAGTAGCCCTTTCTATTGATGTACTCCATCGCAAGATGGTCTGGGGCCAAAATTGGGATATGGGTGTCATCTGTCACTCCAAAACAATTAAGGAATCCCATTCCTGCAAAGCCATCTGCTAATTCATGCACATTTCCCAGAGTCACAGTCCTTCATAGCAGGATGCAATGAATGGCCTTGCACACTTGCGTGAATGTGACCCCCACCGTCAACTTCCTGACTCCAAACGGATTCGTGACCAACCTGTAGCAGTCTGGAGTTGTCAACTTTCACACAGCAATTGCCACGTGCTTGTCCACCGAGAGAGCAGCTCTTATTTTGGTGTCCTTGCAGCGCAGGGCAGAGGTGAGCTCTGCTCACAGTTCCAGGAAGTTGGTTTTGTGCATCCAAAAGTTTTTCAGCCACTGCTTGTCATCCCAGACCTGCATAACAATATGATCCCACCACTCAGTGTTTGTTTCCCAAGCCCAATAGCAACGGTCCACTATGTGCAGCTGCTCCATGAATGCCAAAAGTAATCTGGAATTGTTTCTTTCCATGGTACACAGCAGGGCAGGCTCCTTTGATTTCTGTTCAGATTTGCAGCTGATGAAATACTGTATGATTAGCCACATTATGTACACATGGCACCAGGGCACTACAAATGTGCCTGGCGGGCAGTAAAACTTGCTGAGTGCCTTTGTCACTGAACCATGCTTATGTTTGTCTTTTTTATAAGTAACATTGAGGTTTGCTGAATTAACATGCTGCACTATTTACTAATTACACTAAAGTTTTAAGGACAGAAGCAGGGAGCACCCTGAACACCATTACTAAGGCAATGACATTTTAGCCTTTAGCCCCCTCCCACACACACACGTTTTTCCCCTAAGCCCTGTGACCCAGCCACCTTTGCTGAAATCTTACATTCCTTGCATCGAGAATTCGCTCCATCCCTGCCACAAATGTGTGCTTTCTAGTGATGTCATTGGTTGGTAGGGAAACTTCTGGGGACTGAAAGGGTCTCACTTCACTCACTCTTCTTTTTCACATTCTTCTTTCCCAGAAGAATCAGAGTCTGTTGCAACTAAATTATAGTATTTAATTCATTGGAGTTATCCACACACTGGGGGAAATTCATACTCCCTTCCATTTCTCCTCACTTACTAGAGTCCCCATTTCCTCAAAATGTGCTTTCCTGACATATAATACCACTGACATACTGCATTCTGGGACCTCTGCACTCCCTCTTCTTCCTTACTGTGCTGAACCCCACCAGCCAATGCTCACCTGTTCCAGCTCTCCTATGGCTCATAGTCTCTGGTCCTCTCTCTGCCAGAAAGAAGCATTTCTCGGGGGACTTACTCTGGAGTCTTCACTGTCTGGGACACGGAATCTCTGTGTTTTAGGATCTCATTTGATGAGTGTCTGGCTTTGTGTGTTCACAGGAGAGATGGGGATAGTTAAATCCCCCAAAAGCAGAGCGTCCAGCACCTTTGAGCAACTTGAGAGTTGGGCCTGGTTACTGGCTGGGGTTAAAATAATAGAACTTTTTTTTTCTGACAAGTGTCCCATGAATTCAACTGATGTCCCTTGTTTTCTTCCCCTGAGCAGGGTTTCCTGTTTCCAAACCTGATGTGATCTCCCAGCTGGAGAAAGGGGAAGAACCCTGGGTCTCAGAAATCCAGGAATCAGAGGAACAAGAGATCCTGAGAGGTGCCTGCCCAGGTGAGGAATCATTAAACGAACTCAAAAAACTGTCAGTGCCTGAAGGAAAGAGCTGGGATTCCCTACAAAGTCCTTGGGAGCTCTCTCAGTTCAGGGCAGATGTTGCTCATGACTTCCTGCCCATCCTGACTGACACCTGGCAGTAGCTCCTTCCCTGACCTGCTGTCATCCTGAGTGTTTGGATAGGATGTGGAAACAAAATTTCTCCCCCTTTCTCTCCCCTATGGGAAAAAAAGGTTATATAATTCAGTTCCTGATTTCCCCCCCATCTCTCCAGCACTTACTTTGGTTTCCTCTTCCATTTTCCATTCCTGTTTGTGGTTTCTGTCTGTATCCCAGCAGGTGATGGGATGGTGAGTGAGAAGGAGGGTCAGAATCTTCAGCAGAAGGATGATGTGCAACTGGAACCACACAGGATATTATTGCAAAGATCCAAAGGGAATGTGTCCAGAAGTCTTGAGCAAGGAAAATTGTATGAGAGTCAGCACAGGCCAGAGAGCCAGCCAGGGGAGAAAGAGGGTAAATCCATTAATTGTCAGGCAACTCACAAAGACCTCAGGGGAACCACAGGACAGCACACAAACCTCACAGAAGAGGGAAAAAACTCATGCACTGAGTGTGGGAAAAACTTCCGAGGACGCTCAGGCCTTAGTAATCATAAGAGAATCCACACGGGAGAGAGACCCTATGAATGCAGCGAGTGCGGGAAAAGCTTCACTCGGCACTCAGACCTTATTACACATCAGAGAATCCACACAGGGGAGCGGCCCTATGTATGCTCTGAGTGCAGGAAAACCTTTGCTCAGCGCTCAGCCCTTACTAAACATCAGAGGATCCACACAGGGGAGCGACCCTATGAATGCAGCGAGTGTGGGAAAAGCTATACTCGGAGCTCAGACCTTATTACACATCAAAGAATCCACACGGGGGAGAGACCCTATGAATGCAGCGAGTGTGGGAAAACCTTTACTTGGCGCTCAGCCCTTACTACACATCAGAGTATCCACACAGGGGAGAGACCCTATGAATGCAGTGAGTGTGGCGAAACCTTTGCTCAGTGCTCAGCCCATATTAGACATCAGAAAATCCATGCAGGGGAGAGGCCCTATGAATGCTGTGAGTGTAGGAAAAGCTTCACTGAGAGCTCATACCTTACTAAACATCAGAGAATTCATACAGGAGAGAGACCCTACGAATGCTGTGAGTGCGGGAAAAGGTTCACTGACCACTCTAGCCTTACTAAACATCAGAGAATCCACACAGGGGAGCGTCCCTATGAATGCAAAAACAACAAGGAGTCTGGTGGCACCTTAAAGACTAACAGATTTATTTGGGCATAAG